CCCCCCCCCCCCCCCCCCATCCCCTCAATCCTGGTCTCAAAGTCTCTTACAGCTTTTTCAGCCTGCAAGCTACCCTTGAAGAAGCCCCTAACCCTAAACCCTCGACCGCAAAAACACACAAATCCCGATACCCTTTTTCACACTTTTAGGGCTTAGACGGTTTCTGCTTTACGCCCTGCTTGGAGTTTCTGTTTAGGGTTATGCTCGCGCCTTCCGGGGCTTGTTGGTGCAGGGTCGAAAGGGTTGTCGACGGTTTGTGCGGCCTTAGGGTTTAGGGGTTTAGGGTTTAGGGGGTTGAACTACATATACTTAGGCCTTAAAGTGTGCCTATATAATTAACATCGAAGCCCCCGTAAGGCCTAAAAACCCTAAACCCTTAAGCCGTCTAAGCATATTCTATTATGGGTACATGAAGCCTTAGGTGGAATCATCAAGCATACAGGGCTTCGTTCCAGAATCGGAGCTCATGCACCCTAGGGTTTAGGGTTTAGAGTTTATCGCAAAATCCGCAACAAGTGCATCCCGCAAGCCTGAACTCCAATCACAGACCCGGGTAAACACCAAAGAGCTTCAATTTCAAGGGAGGAGAAGACCGAAACTGCTTCGTGAGACACCGGCCTTCGACTACTTGCTCTGTCTCGGAGGGTTTTTTCAGGTTCAGGGCTTTGAGGTGCACCTGAAAGCTGCAGAATTGAGCGGTTTGCTGTGCAATTGACGACACATGGCTTGGCTCCTCCACTAATGAAGAACCCCGGCACCCCAAGACTGTGTCAAGCTTTCATCAGAAAAAGCTACCCAACCTTTGCGAAACCCCACCATACAAGTCATCCACCCCCTGAAACCAGAGCCGTAGTTCAACAACTACGAGGCCCCCAAGCGAGCTTCCGGATTCGATCAAACCCCAAAAACCCAAAAGGGTTTAGGGCTTTACGGCTTTAGGGCTTTAGGGTTTAGGGCACGGTTTAGGGGTTTAGGGCTTTAGGGTTTAGGGGTTCAGGGCTTTAGGGTTTAGGGCTTTAGGGGTTTAGGGGTTTAGGGTTTGGTTCAGGAACGCTCACAACCCCAAGCCGCCGCAGAGCAGCTAAGGCTTCAAGTGCCGGCAGCCGGACAAGGTGTTCTTACTCCGCGGCAAGCAGGACTTGCGTGTCTACCCATAGGCTCCTAAGTAGTTCCTGTTTGTGGTTCATATTTAGAATCCTATAAGGTAAGCCCAAAAAGGAACTACTTAGGAGCCTATGGGTGCCTGCGGCCCAAAGTCCCCGAAGTCTAGGACCCTAAACCCTAAGACCTTGTACTTTAGGGTTTAGGATCTACTTAGGGTTTAGGATCTACTTCACAGGTGCGGTGAGGGCGTAGGGTTCTGGATATGCTTAGATAGTCAGGAAACTGCAAGCATCAGTCGAATTTACGGCTTCTACGACGAGTGCAAACGCCGATACAATGTGAAATTGTGGAAGCGGCTCACCCAAACCATGAACTGCATGCCAATCTGTGCCTTGATTCGAAGCCGGATCTTCTGTGTCGCGTCGGGCCTTTCTCCCGAACTTCTCACGCTGGCCACTGGCAAGTCACAGAGCAGCATTTTTTCTTGTTTCCCGGGTGGGTGCTATCGACTTAAGGGTCCGGAGGATGATTGGAAACATCGGCGTATTGTCTTGCCATGATTGGGTACGGGTACACCCCAAGCCGCATCATAGTCATCACTGAGGCCACTTCCTAGGTAGTATTGGGGAGGCCCATTAAAGGTGACCCTTCTTAACTTCTTAACCCTAACTTATGGCTCTCTTAAGATCCACAGGCCTGCCACTACCCATGGGCCCCTGAGTAGCTCAAGGTACTCCCCAAAAAGGAACTACTTAGGGGCCTATGGGTTTTGTAGAAGAAGAAGCCCTCAATCAGCAGTAGGGTTTATTCGGCTCTTTCTCGGTTCGCTCGGCTCTTTCTCGGACCGATTCCTCTACACCTAGGTACGTGGGCTCACTGCCCGATACTCTAAACCCAATCCTAAACTCTCAACCCTAAGCCCGAAACCGCCAACTCTAAACTCTAAAACCTGAACCCTAATCCCCAAATCCTACACCCTAAACCCCACATTGCCCCAAATCCTAAATTCTAAACCCCCCAAGCCTAAACCCCAGACCCTAAACCCGAAACCCTAAACCCCAAACCCCAAGTCCTAAGCTCCAAGCCAAGGATCAGCTCAGCAAGATCGATCGGCCCACAGAAGTTCCTGACACGGGACTTCTCTGCGACTAGCATCTTGTTTAGTCTGTATAGGTGCTCACGGTTTAGTGTGGAAGACTGTGCTCAGCTGGTGACCATGTCCGGAGCCATTTTCTGGTAGTTTTTGTCCACTTCAAGGCCGCCTCAAGCCGTGAATGATTGGAGGCCCCGATCCGTGTCCATTTGGAACACCCCAGACTCGTCTTGAATTGTGAAGGATTGGGGGCCCCAGGCAATCCTTGTGCAGTTGGAGGGCCTCAAGTCATGAAGCATTGGGGTGCCCCAATCCTTGTCCATGTGGAAGGTCTTCCCCTGGCTCGCTTCAAGTCGTGAAGGATTGGGGGGCCCCAATTCTTGTCCACTTGGAACTCGTGGAGGTGTTGGATTTGGGGCGTCTTTCCGAAAATGGGGGTTAGGGTTATGGAATATACGTTGGTGTCTAGCTCGGCGATGATAGCTTGGCGACCTGCCGGGAGTGTGCTTGCAGTCTCTGCAGCTCGAACAGAGCCTGCCTGGTCTCGCTGAGCGCTCGACTGCGCCCGCCTACCCCAACAGAAGTGAGAGGGGTGGCGGGCAGGTTTAACGTAAGTTACCATAGTAGGGTATAAGACACTAAATAAGACATCCATAGTATGGTACCTATATAAAGTTTCCATTGTAGTTTCGTTTTTGCTTTATGCCGTTTGATATTTCGGTTCCTATATTATCAGGTATCTCCAAAAAGGAACTGTAATGGAGACTATAGGCAACTTAATCCTTCGTAACGCCCCAGGCGACCTCTTGTGGGCGGATCCAGAGACGGGTTTGAGAGGATGGGCGGACATGGACAAAGGCGGGAGTTTGGGGTTGCAGGGTTTAAGGGTTTGGGGTTTTGGGGTTTAGGTTTCAGGGTTTTAGGGTTTAGAAGGTTTAGAGTTGGGGTTCGGTTTGTTGGGGTTTCGAGTGGAAACAAGACCCTGCACAGCCGGATAAGGCTCAACTACATCTCTGTAGTTGACCCTTAGCCCAATTCTCAAAGCGTCTGAAATGGCCCCATGAAGGACCCTAAGCCTAGTAGTGGAGTAGGCGACATTTAAGCTTTTTGGGTACTATAATTTTTGTATAACCCCACAGGTTAACCTTTAGTTCTTCGAGGATACAAGTGCCCCCAAACCCTAAAGCTTAAACCCTAAACTTCTATGAACCCGAAATTAAACCCCTAAACTCCAAGCCCTTATGAACCCTAAACCCAAGAAGCCCACAGGTGTTTCCTATATTTTTGGGGAGGACATCGTGCACGGTTTCATGGAACGGAACAGTCTGGACCTGATCTGCCGAACGAGTCAAGTGGTTGAGAACGGCTATGAGTGCCTTGTGCTGTTTAGGGTTTAGGGTCGGGATTTAGGGGTTTGGGGGTAGGGGGACGCAGTTTCCATTCATTGAACTCATTGAACACAATCAACACACATCATTCTGTTTGTTCCACTATTCTTTCGTTACGGTTCCAGGATACCACTGTTCCAAGTTCAGGTTTCTACACTATGGTTTAAGGTCTGAATGCCAGGTAAGATAAAAGTGTGAATGTGGAGGAGCTTAATACAGGCCCTCACTTGGAAACCACTAAAATCCAAATTGCTACAGTCTAAGTTTTACACCACGAAACCATAAACCCCAATAGCGGCTACCTTAAACTACCCAAACCTATGTTTTTGTAGGATCCCCGCTACTCGGTAGCTACTATTTTGATATTAGGGTTTACTAATAAAGAGAACGTCCAAAACGAAGGGTATGCATTTTCCCTAAACCTTAAACCCTAAACCCAAGGTATCTGAACAATGTACATCGCAACAACTACTGAGCCGACTTCGGCCTCCGGGGGGCCAGTGTTTAGGGTTTAGGGTTTGGGGCTTTGGAGAGGCGTCGCAAACCCTGAGTTCATGTTTTTTTTTCCGGTCAGAGTGTTAAGTCCCACATATTTTGGAGGGTATGGGGTTGTTGTTGAAGGTTCCGGTTTCTGGCTTGGTGTCATTGAATGCTTGGATGGGCTCAAGGCTGCCTCATACTTGGAAGGTGCCCAAATCTGTTTTAGGGAGCAGGATTTATATTAGGGTCCTAGGTCCTAAGCCCTCAACCTAAACCGTTACAATTTAAGCTGCCTTTGTACCATCGTGTATCTCCTTCATCCTCCTCCGTGTCTTCTCTGTCTCTCCTCCGTCTTTCCTTGTGTCTCCTCTGTGTCTCCTCTGTGTCTCCTCTGTGTCCCCTCTGTCTCTTCTCTGTCTTTTTTTTGTCCCTCCTTTGTCTCTCCTTTGTCTCTCCTCTGTCTCTCCTTTGTCTCTCTGTTTCTCTGTCTCTTTGTTTCTTTGTTTCTGCGTCTCTCTTTTTCTTCGTCTCTCTGTTTCTTTGTCTCTCTGTTTGTCTCGCTTTGCCCTTTGTGTCTCCTCTGTCTCTCCTTTGTCTCTCTGTTTCTCTGTCTCGTTGTTTCTTTGTTTCTGCGTCTCTCTTTTTCTTCGTCTCTCAATTTGTCTCGCTTTGTCTGTCTGTCTGTCTCGCTTTGTCTGTCTGTCTGTCTGTCTGTCTGTCTGTTTGTCTGTCTGTCTGTCTTTGTCCGTGTCTCTGTTTGTCTGTCTCTGTCTGTTTGCTTGTCTGTCTGTTTCCGTCTGTCTGTCCGCGGTTGCCGGCAGTGGCAGTGGCACGATGTCTGTCTGTCTCTCTGTCTGTCTGTCTGTCTGGCGATACCGGTGCAGCGGCCGCCAGCCACGCTGCTCTGTCTTCCACAAAGAAGGAGAGTGCTTCGCACCCCTTCGGCCCGGCCAGAGCTGCCTTCCAGTTTCCATCGCTTTCAGCTCTCATCAGGTCAAATTGAATCATGTTGAAAGACCTCAAAGAAGAAACAAGTCCCGAAGCGTCCCGAAGCTTTGTTTTTCGGTCAATTTTGCCGAAAAAGTTGCTATGTTGGGGGCAACATTTTTCGGCTCAATTTTTTTTTCACGAGATGCTTTTGAATGCTTCTAGAATGCCTCGGGGATGTCTCAGTATGTGTTTTTGGAGGCTGTTAGAGTGTTAAGCGGCCCGTTTTTTGTGATATTGCTCGTGTTTCACTGCCTTAAAGATGTTCTATGGCGGTTGTGGAACGTTGTTTTTCGAAGTTTTCTGCAGTATTCCAGTTGGATTAGAAGCTCCCAATGCAATAAATGCCCTAGAAATGCCTTAGAATTGATTTTTTGAAGGCCCTTTGACAAAGATTTTGTTTGCTCGTCTTCTCTTTGTAAAGTTGCATTTCCGGTGATTTTTTGTGCATATGACTGTCCAAAAGATGTTCCAAAGCACTGGTGGCACGTCGTTTTTTGAATTGCCGGCACATTTTCATGCAATTCTTGTTTTCATCGGGCCAGGGTGCACTGGAATCTGCCGTTCTAGCTCACTGAAAGTACGATTTGGATGAAAATTCACGTTTCTATTGCAACAAATGGTCTTCAATTTGGCCAGTTTTTCTGGTGTCTCTTCTGTGTCTCCTCTGTGTCTCCGTGTCTCCTCTATGTCTCCTCTGTGTCTCCTGTGTGTCTCCTCCGTGTCTCCTCTGTGTCTCCTGTGTGTCTCCTCTGTGTCTCCTCTGTGTCCCCTCTGTCTCTTCTCTGTCTTTCCTTTGTCCCTCCTTTGTCTCTCCTTGTCTCTCCTTTGTCTCGCCTTTGTCTCTCCTCTGTCTCTCCTTTGTCTCTCTGTTTCTCTGTCTCTTTGTTTCTTTGTTTCTGTGTCTCTCTGTTTCTTTGTCTCTCTGTTTGTCTCGTTTTGTCCTTTGTCTCTCCTCTGTCTCTCCTTTGTCTCTCTGTTTCTCTGTCTCTTTGTTTCTTTGTTTCTGCGTCTCTCTGTTTCTTTGTCTCTCTGTTTGTCTCGTTTTGTCCTTTGTCTCTCCTCTGTCTCTCCT